GGGCGCGCATGTTTCCTGACCTGTGCGTCAACACTTTTGAAATCAATAGAAACTTGATGCAACAAAAGAAGTATTACAATATACGGGCTCTGACATTTCGCAAAGTTTAAGGCGTTTTAGTGACTCGACTTTACAAAGCCAGAAATTTGTTGACACTCTTCGAAGTGCGTCACCTTTGTTTGCCGCAATCGTGAAGGCACTAATGGCATCGGGAAGGAAACGTTTTACAATGAATTACCCCCCTCGACGCAGTAGAGGCCCACCAGAGCCGGCCCAGCCCAGCGGCAGCCAGGGAGCGCATGGCGCACGGCCGAGGGAGGCGCGTCGCAAGGGCGTAGCCAGAGGGCGTAGCTGGCTCGCACCTCAAAACACACGAACAGCGAATTATCAGAGGGTAGAGATATTGAACCCTGCCTGCTGGTGTTACCCGCCGCGCCCAACCTCTGCCGTGCTTGTCGGTGCTGTGCTGGTCGTGCAGGACGACCATTTCTGCTCTGTTTGTCGGCGATGTCGTCAGGCTGCCCCCTCCTCCCTCTCTCCTGATGTGGCTTTTGCGTCACCGTGTCACTTTGGGGCCCCCGCCGGCCCCCGGCCCGCGAGCAGCGCGCGCTGTGCAGGACATTGTGTGTTCACTGACCCCGCCCCGCCCCCTACCCCCCGCCCGCAGCGCGCCGCGGGCCCCGCGCATGCAAGGGACACCACCGCGCCACCGCCACTTCGGCGGCGAGGTCACTAGAGTGCGTGCCATGCATACCACCCGGACGGTTTTTGCATTTCAAAAAGTCCCGCGCGCTTCTCAATTGTCCCACTGATAAGAGCAGGGGGAACAAAGGGCAGAAGAGGAGAGGGGCACAGGGTGGCCCATGGTAGCCTCTATAGCTGCTCATGGCGGCCCATGTTTGCCCACTGCGGCTCATGGCGGCCCAGGGTGGCCCATGGTTGCCCATCACTCATGGCGGCCCATGGTTGCCTGTAGCGGCTCATGGCGGCCCATGGTGGCCCATGGCCCACAACGGCAGCCGCTGAACAGCGCCGGAATAAGTCATGACTATCAGGCGTCAGCATCCGCTATCCGGCCGGGTATCTTGATATGCAGATGGATTGCTATTCGCGCCCCGGGTCGAGCAGCGGCAGCCGCGGCCGCGCCGCCTGGGTTCAGATTCGGATCGGGGTTACCAGTCGGGAAATGAGGCACGACTGGCGCATATGTGCCAAAGCAGAGCAGCAGCGGCAGCTGGCGGGGCCGCCACCTGCGGTAGCGCGCGGCCTGGACCCCTGAGAGACAGGGGTGCGCGGCTGCGCGGCATGGAGCGGAGAGAGGCGGCAAGCTGACCTCGATATTCAAAAGCTGTGCCGTGTAGTGTGTAGACTACTGGGCTCGATTCGACCGGTACAGCCACGGAAATTCAAATTCAGTTGGCGCCGCTAGGAGGGCAGAGTACAGGGCAGAGCGGAGCACATCAGAGCAGAGCACAGGGCGGAGCAGAGCACATGGCACACCACAGGGCAGAGAGGGGCGCAGGGCACACTGTTAACGCCGTGGTCGTCTAACGTGTCGAAATGCCGCCTCCAAAAGCAGACCACTGAAAACTGCGGGAATAACGCATGCCATCACTAGATGATAACGCGGTGCACATTTCAGTTTTTGTGGAATATTTTCTAAACGAGCCATGAAATTTAATTTTTGAAAGCTCCATTGAATTTTCCGTAAAATTTACGATCAAACGAGCCTACATGTGATAGGGTTCTGAACAAAGGTTCTCTAAGAACACGTCTTATTCCGTATTATTATTTATTTATTGCTTTCAAAAATTAAATCTCAGAGCTCGTTTAGAAAATATTCCCCAAAAACTGAAACACGCACCGCCTTATCATCAAGTGATAACATGCGTTATTACGCTGTTTTCAGTGAGGGCCAAAATTTGCAAACATTTTGGCATATGCTAGGCGACCATCGCGTTAACAGTGCAGAGCTCAGGGGGGAGCAGGGTAGAGGGCAGGGGCAGAGCACACGACAAAACAGAGCACAGAGCACATTAAAGCGCAGAGCCAGTGCAGAGCACAGGGCAGAGAGCACTGAGAGCAGTCGTCCAGAGCACAGGGCAGAGCGCAGGGTAGAGAAGCGCCGACCCAGCAGACCGGGTTGCGACGCGGGTGTGGGGGAGAGGGTAGCCCTAGTGGGGAAAGAAGGAGCGGGGGCGTCTATTTCGAGGGCAAGAACCTCACTCAGGACTGCACCCCGCGCTCTACGAGGGGCGGGAGGGGGCGGGGGAAGAGAAGAGAGAGGACGAGGATGTCGGCGCCGATAAGAGTGCGAGGGAGAAGAGGAAAGGCGTAGGGTACCAGCTCAAGAGGGGGCGAGGGGCGCAGTGGGCAAAGGCGATGTGTAGAGGTAAGGTGGGGCTATTCGCAGATTGGGCTGTCGATGTAATTGGACCATTAATTTTAGTAATGGATGATGACGGAGCAGGCGAAAGAGCTAAGGACAAGAACCGGCATGCTCCATTTGTGTTACAAATATCTTCTCAAATTGACGATTATTTTAAGGGGGAGGGGCGGAGTCTCAGATAGACAAACCTGGACTAACTTTAAAGAGCAACAAGAACAAATTAAAACGGAACAGGGGCACACCATGACGGAACGGTGTTACTTACCTTCTCCTTCTGCTGCACTTCTCTTGAGTAAACAGAGCCTCGCGGGCTCACTCGCGGGGTACTCTCCGCCGGTGCACAGTGGACTTACGTCACCCTCCGCACGGGGGCCGAGCTGAGTCCAACCCGGCCCCAGGTCAGGACCGCCAGCTCCATGGGTGCGACACTGCTAAAACACAGCGTAACGATTTGCCGATAGCGTCACAAATCATCAAGATTATTAATAGCAGGAGCGCCTAACGGGCTTCGCGATCTGTTACGCCGCGACACTGGTAAAACAAGTGTTTAATTGTGCACGTCAATTGACGTTTAAGTTCAAGTGTGCATTTTCTAGACACTTAGTGGTGTCTCACTATGTTATACGTCAATTGGTGTTTAAACTTTCGACACTATCGAAACGTATACCAGCTGCACATGGTTCCCTATTGACAACATAGAACTGTGTGTAGTGTGCAGAATTTAGACGTTAACAAAACATCTACAATTTGCACACCACGCAATTGTGCAACTTGAGTTGAACACCATGTAATGTGCAAAATCACAACTTGCACACGTTGGTGTGCAAATATTGCACACTTGTTTTACCAGTAGACGCACACTGCTTACACGTCTACCTGGGCCTCACTACAATCTAGATTTGTGATTTAAAAAAACAGTTTTGATACAATTACGATACGGTTTTATGTCCAGACAAGTAATAAATCGCACACTGTAAAAATATGTTCGTAGATGTACAATATATTTTGTAATTCACTACACTGATAAAAAAAAGTGTGCAACTGGCGTGCACATGCAAGTGATCAACAATACGTTGCCCATATGAACACTTAAAAGTGTGCAACTCTGAGGTTTGTCATTAAGCTTTGGACGCTCTTAAGAGTTTAAATTTACCGTTGAAGAGTTTTAAGTATTCAAAATCCCCGTCCAACTCGTACTACTGTGCACCATAGAGTAGAACACTTTCATCTGCACGCCAGTTGTACACTTTATTTATCAGTGTATTTACAAAATATGTTGCATATGTACAACAACGCACTCCTGCTTGTTCGATGGATTTCAAGTGCTTATAAATTTACAATTTTAAATTGTAAATGTGCGACAACTTCCATGGGAAATATTCCTGTACCCGATACAATATTTGTTACAGTGAAGGGAATCTGAGCTGTCGCACACTTTGATGATTGAAGCACCAGAATTCAAGATTCCCCCATTTCCTGCATTTTCAGCACACCCTATCTGCGTGGGAAACGAATCGAGCAGGTAAACAACCCATGGCTGCTGGCCGCTGTGCCCAAAGAGCTAATGGAATACCCCGCATGCACGGGTGCGGATTGGTTTGGCTATCTTTTCTAGCAATGCAGCGCCGTGCGAATATAGGCAACCCGCCCGCACGTCTGCAAGCGGGGTGGTATTTGGTTGCTCCAACGGGTTACGGCGGCCACCTTGTGGAATAAAGACTTAGCAGAGAGGTTAGAGACTAATTTACATTGATAAATAAATGTATAATTTGAGGGTAAGTAAGACCTTAGTGATCTTTCCTTTGCACCCAAACATGACCCAAACACGACCCAATGCTCCTACTGAATCTGGATTTGTGACAAACCAACCCCAATTTCTGACAGAACTCGTGTTATGTGAAACCGTCCATTTATCACTTTTCTATATTCTTAGTTCCACTGTAAAAAAAATTAGAGGGAATTTTCCCCTCCCCGCGTGGCAACGCTCCTTTGCCAGCTAGTGTTCGGGAAATTTACAGACCCAAATAGCCGGCAAATCCCCTGCCCACTGGTGGGGAAATTTACAAGCCAATGTGGCAGGGAAAGGAGTCTTTCCAACCCACCCAAGTAAATTTACAACGTGGGCAGGAAAGAAGTCTTGACTGACTCACCGTCAGCAAATTTCCAATTGCGCGCGTGTGAGGATGACTTTCGTGCTCACCACATGCAAATCTCCAGCCCAGGGCAAGGAAGGCGGCGTTGCCACACCATTAGCGAGGGAATTTCCTGACCAGGGAGGGAAAGTGGACACCCGCTCCCCGACGCCTGAAAATGGCTCTGCCCTCGCCCAGCAAGTGAAATTTCTGCCCGTGGTATGCAAAGATTCTCGGTAACCAGCTCGCAGGCGCCTGGTAGGTAGGCCGCTCACGGCCGGCGTGTAATGCGGGTCGGCCTATCCACAGCTCGCAGGCGCCTGGTGGGTAGGCCGCTCCCGGCCCGCCTGCAGTGCGGGTTGGCCTATGCGCGGGTCGCAGGCGCTTCAAGGAGCGGCGGGGTGGGAAGAGGTGAGAAAACCGAGGAGGGGGGGGGGAGGGGAGAGGAGAGGAGAGCGGTGGATAATAGACGCAAAATATAGAAGTAAAGAGCTTTCATTTAATATAAAAATATATTGTACAATTTGAAAATAATAAGCAAGGGACAGGAGGTACCAAACATTCTAAAACCATAGACAGCCAAAAACACATAAGTATTAAATGGAAACATGGTTATGTTGAAACAATAAAACTTGGCAATAAAATTTGAGTCTTAAAACAATAATTCACACTTAGTAACACAGTATATCAGTCTTAAAACTGGAGATGAATCCAACAAAAGTTACATATCATTAAAACTTATTCAATCGTCAAAATTGTACTTTGAAGTGTACTCTTTGAAATTTTTTAATAAAGATGAGTATTTGGGAGTGACATCTTTCACTGCATGGCTGTAGTGGCCATTCTTAGACTTCTTCCTAGCCACCCTTGAACCGGCATCCCTGATGTTGTAAATATTTCTGTTTAAATGAAACAAATAAACATGAAAAGTATGTGATAGTATGCCAAAAACTAATAAAAGTTTAATTTCAGAAAACATTCTCACCTTTGAATGAACTCCAGTGCAGGAGCAACCAGAGGGTTGTAAGATATTTTAAAAACAAAATAGCACATGAACATCACATGTAACGCTGTGAGCAAGGGCATTGGCTTCTCCCATAGCACCACATTGTCGACAACAACATAGGCCACAGTCGATTGTGAAAAGAAGCTGCTACCTGTTGGGACAAGGGAGAAATTTTAGAATTCAAACAAAGGGAAGAGATAATAAAGCAAAGCAGTTCCATGTGTAATACTTACCCATTACAGCAATAAGTGGACACCCATCCTCAGACAGATTTGAGGACTGTACTTCCTGATAACTTGCTGTGTCCTGAAAAGAATTTAAGATATGAAACCACACGTTAAGTTGAAAGGAGAAGAGAGAACCTCAGCCACTCACCTCAAACATCAGAAAAAGGGCCTTTTGGGGCAGTTGCAGATGGCGAATGATACATAAAATAACTGCCAGTAGGTCTGTTCCCTTATTATTCTCTTTGTTCTGGTGATAAACTTGGAGAATCTTATGGATCTTATCAGGAATGTCTTTGGCTGCACCTTTCCGCTTTTTAGTTGAGAGATGTGAAAAATATTTTAAAAATTTACCAGGTACAGTTTTCAAGGTTTCATCTACCGTTGAAGACTCAATGCCCATTAATGAAAAAAAATGTTCCTCAAGAATGTTGGTCTGCAAATAAAATGCAAAAATTAGCAGCATGCACAACCCATAAAATGAAACAAAGGATTTGAAAGAAGAATCCTTACATACCTGTCCGATGAATGGCCATCTTGTTTTTATTTCTTGAAGGTGAAGCTTTCTATTAATGTCATGCCGCTGTAAGACGGATGTTTCTGCCATTAATCTCTTCACGCAATTTAAGTCATACACATCTGACTCAAACATTCCTATTAAAGATCGTCTTTTGATATCCAGTTCTTCAGCATTATCAGTAGCAGAAAGGGCAGGCAGATCCAGACATCCTTGCAGGCCATATTCTTCTCTACTAGAGAAGCGTGGTCGCTTCCTCTTTGGTTCATTCGAGTTCTGTGAAGACTTCCTGCGCTTGTAGTTAATTCTGTACATCAGACTCTTCTTTAGGTTGTGGGCCGCAAGCATTACTTCTTCATCGTCCAACTGAATGCAACCAAAGGCTTTGGCATGTGATTTGATGAGTGTTGTGCTCATGTTTTGGACCTGTTCTTCCCGGACAACCCTAAAGAAGAAAGAAACAATGGTTAGTGATTTGTTTTACAATGTTATGTATGCATATATTTTAGTAATAGAATCTGAATTTCTTATATTTATCAGTTAACATTCAGCAAGTAAAGTAGACCAGATAGTATATTTTATCAAAAGCAAATAAAAGAATTGAAAAAATAAAATACAGAAACATTTACCTCATATTTTCTTCAATATCATCACCAACTGCATCTATAACATTCCTTCGCTCTAAGTCTGTCATAGGTTCAGTACCATTCATGGTAACCATTAGTTTTGAAGACAGAACATGTTTTAAATTGAGAACATATTCTTTACTAGACCTGATATTTCTGGACTCTGCTCCTGTAGAAAGAAAAAGAAAAATTAATAAAGAAAAGTTACAAATACTTAAATACTAAATTAAATAGATATCACTTTTGTAGTTCAGCTTACTCTCTTTAAGTTGAATACATAATTCCCTAAATCCTACAGGCTCCATTATATCCAGGATGTCTGTTTCTTTTACTAATAAGAACTTAGAGATTTTCTTTACGCCCAGGGTTTTCAAGCGGTTCTTCGCAATTTTCGGATCACAAATGAGGTGAGGAGTCATTCTTGATACAAGGTCAGCAAGTGGGCCATTTTCATCATCACTTTCTGGAGTGCACTCTTGTGATAAAGAGCTGTCATCCAAACTGGAGCCTCTGGACTCATCATCTCCCGTCATCTGAAAAATAAAAATAAATTAATTTCAGTTAAGTTTTAAAGCATTGCGCTCTAACTTTCATAAGCAGCTGGGATGGAATGGTTAACAGCCATCCATACTCACCGTGAGGGCTCAAACTCAAATAAACAACAAAGGCTGAAAGAAACCAAGAAAAATGATTACTATCAAGATATGCGTATGCACATGGTTTAAAAAAGGAAATGTGGATTATCATAATTGTGAAAAAAAACTTGGTTAAAAATACCTTATTAAGAATGATACTTGAGCACCAACACTTCCTTATTCAGGAAGCTGTATGATGGATGACTGGAGTAGTTGAGAAGAGATGAAATATTGATGATTATTGGTGTATCTGGTTTCAGAGGTTTGAGACTATATAGACCCCAAGTGCCAACTCTCTCTGCAATGAATTTGTGACCTGCAACAAAAGAAAACCAATTAGCATCAAATAAGAACAACATGAAGAATGGCACAGGAATTGCATTCATTTATTACCAGCAACATAACATTGGCTGCCATGCACAACTACTGCCCTAATGCGGCACAAATTCAAGGTAACATTTGAAGAATTGGTCACAACATATTCAAATTCAGAGTAAGACACTCCCCTAAACTCAGCACAACTATTTATAGCCAATGAGGGTAATACACTTCTACCAAAATAATTTTTAATCTTTTCTTTAACATCATCAGGGCAAAAGACAGCTCTATCAAAACTAACACAGTCTTCTAAAATTGGCAAGTTTTCACCGCGTAATGATGTGTTGGCACTCATCATCAGTTGATGTTCATTTGATAGGAGATGGGTCAGATTCCGAACACTCTTCTTAGCCTCCAAAGTGTTCTTAAAAAATGGATGTTTGGACTCATATCTGAGAGTGCTAACTTTCATTAATGGGCCATACATTTCAATGAGTTCACAAATATGTTCACAATAGTGATGTTTTGGCCGTATTGGTTTGTCAGAAAAGAGGTTCACCCTGAGATAAATGTAGGACTTGATAAGTTTCTTAAGTTCTGGTAGTGAACTTACTCTCACAGCAGGAGAACAAATTCTTTGCATCATGGATATCAGCAGAAGAACCATTTGCCAAACTTTATCTGCTTTATCTCTTATCTTGTCACCAATCAAAATAGGCAAGAAACGTAAAAATGTCCAGTTTTGGACTGCATTTCCATAAATCTTGCAACTTTTCTGAGACACACGACCTGGTCTATCACACCTATCATGGCCAAGGAACTTGAACTTAGTAATACGGCGGTTAAGTGCAGTTATTGACAGGCCAAATTTTTCAACAAAGTACGATAATGCCAAAGGCAAGTCATGTTGTATTATGCCCTCAAAGCAGTCGTGAGCCAGGCAACAACAGGCCCGCCCCACACAGTGAAAGGAAGGCAACTCATTAAATTCACAACCAGCAGATGTTATTCCTTTAAAACTTGGCAAGCCTCTTTCCCGGCTCTTGTCAACACAGGAGTTATAACTATGAGGAGTACGTAGAGGAGAGCAATCAGGTATAGATTCTGTTTGAATCTCCTCTAGTTCAACTAAATCTTCTAAAACTACATTTTCAGAGAGAAAATTCTCATCATCAATTAACTCAGGCTCACTATCACTGTCACTGTCACTACCTTCACAGTCAGAGTCAGAGTCAGTATCTTCTATGTCAATTGACCACCTCTCCTTCCATTCTTTCCTGCTCTCCTCACAGAAGCGACAGAAAAAGTGAGATCTACTAAAATTTTGAAGAAACCCCGTTATCATATGTGCACCAAGGTTGTCTCCAATCAGAAATAAAACTTTAGCTTTCACCAAGGTACCATCCACACACATGCCAGTCCTTTCCAACTCTTTCAACTCTGCAATGATAGGACTCAAAACCTTCTTCAATCCAAAATGAGACACATCCTTGGATCTGCATACCAGACTCAGAAGAATGTTTGAAGCTTTCAAGCGAGTCCAAGGATGAAGATTTGCTATGGCTATGTAAGCATTGAAAGTCTTGTGGAGGTTTCTGGCAGAGCCAAGAGCCCGAGCAAGCTCCACCTCATCAGTATAAAACAATAAATAAATAGTGGATAGATCATTGCCAAAGAGTTTTCTGAAAACAGATCCATCAAAGACATCAAACAGCACATCAGGATTATGCACCCGTTCTTTCATTTCATGGTACTGCTGAAGTAAAGACTTGTCATTTAAAAGCATTTCTAGCATTTCTTTGGTGGGAACTGTATGGAATTTTCTTTTTTTATCAAAGCTATCTAACCCCAATCGATGAGAGCGAGGAGGAATGAAAACAAAGTTGGAGCGGTAGCTTTGCTGGCGCATATATGCAGTCCGGAGAGGACCCCCTGCTGCATGAGCACACTCTGAAACAGCGTTCTTGAAGCCACTCTTTAAAATAGATAAAATACGTTCATCTAAATCAAGATCACATTGCTCAATTCTTTTCAGAATTTCGTCAAGCATTACAGAATGGCTCTCTTCAAGGAGCACACGATAAGTTTCGATTAAGAACTGTAAAGTGCGTTCAGGAATGTGATGCACAGAATTGAGAGACAAGTAGAGATGGATAAATTTCTTCATAATAGCATCTCGTGACTCTTCAATGCTCAGAGCAGGTGTACAAGGCTTGTCTACATGCTGTTCCTCAAGATCATGACATTCTTCAAAAGGAAATGGTTCTACTGTGCTGCTGTTCGGTTGTACTGAATTAGGCTGTGGAGGAGCTTCAGCAGAGTCAGAGGCATGAACACGAAATCTATGAGATCGCAAAGTTGATTGGGCTCGACACTTGTAGTCACACAAAGGATAGGCACATTTAAATAGTCTCTCATCAGCATCATCAGACTGGCTCTCATTATGAAAAGTAGATAAATGATTATTGTACCGATCCAAAGACTTGAAACTCACACAGCAACCAACAACGCCACAAGTAAACTTGCTAAAGGAACTAACTTTGTGCTTGAGTTCAAAATGCCTGATAAAGGAATCAGCGGACAAACTTTCGATGCCACATACTTTGCACACTTGAAGCATGACAAATGAACGTGTTAAAACTGCACGTGAAATGCCGTCAACTCGGTAAAATCAGATAAAAGACAATTAAAATAACTCGAAGAGACCGAAAACCTAACCTCTCATTGGCTCACTGGTTAAGAACTACGCAAAAACGTTTGTGTGTGAAGTGGTGCACAGCACAGCCTAACGCCCGACCGCTACTAAAGTTCAATAGCTACTAATGAAACTATACTGACCTCTCAACAATCAAATCTTTCGACAGGGTACGAAAGGTTTGCATTGGATCCGTGCTGCGAAGTCGCCAGGTCCGCGTCAGCTGATCGAGTGAGAAAGGGTTTTGGGGCGGGGGGCGCAGGTAATGGAGAGGGGAGGAGGGGAGCGGGGGGAGAGGTTAGGAGAGGTCGGAAAATGGGAAAAACAGACCAAGCATAAAACCTAAGAAGGCGAGGAGAAAAAGGCGTTAGTTTACATAAAATCACGGAAACTATCTAAAAATTAACAAGAAGCGCCTTTGTAAACTTACGGATGTTTATTTTCCTTATGGGAATTCTGAGGCAAAAGAGATACGTACGTACGCAAGATTGACGCTCTCTGCGGCCGAAGTATGGCAGAACTGACATGGCCTTGACCTTACTTAACCTGTCATCACCGCACCAGCTGTTTTACCACTCCGTGCTTTTACGCTGGTGTCAGTTGTCAATGTCCATCACAGCCGCTATGTGGGTTGTAGTGAAACTAGCTACAGGCAGTCACGAAGTGATACAAGACAAGAGGATTCTTCGACTTTCACCAGAGCTGCGAGTAGGATACATGTATCCTTTTACGCCCAAGTGTCACAGCATAGGATTGGAAGAATTGCGGAATATGCAGTTTACTCCCGATCAATACTTAAATCTTTTAACACAGAAAGAATACATTTGTGTTGTTCTTTTTGTCCCAGGTTTGTTGAATGGATGATTGTTTACGCTATTGTTGTAAAATGATGTTGACTACTGTGCTGCGTGAACATTTTCAACTAATTTCTTGATTGGTGATACGGTGCAGAGTCTGAAGACCATGAAGAGGTTTACCAGTACCTCAGACAAAATAGGAGAAAAGACAGAGAATCAGTGATTGCGGATCATGCAGGAGAGTGTGTCCAGTGCCTAGTTGAATACCTCTCAACTTCTAAGAAAAGAAAGATTCAATGACAACATATATGTTTACTATTCCAATGACAATGTGATATGTTTACTATTTAATGACAAATGTGATATGTTTACAGTATAGTATTTAGTTGTACTTTTATTGTGTGGAACCGTTTGTGGAAAGGTGTATTTTTATGAGCTCAAGATGAGCTGTTTCTCCATGACAACGACGTAGTCCTACCTCATTGTATATTTGCTCGGATTAAAATTAGAAATGAAACTTTCTCCTCTCTAATTTATATGCGGGAAGGCAAACGCATAAACTTGTTGTCAGTACCGAGATAATACTTTGGTGACATGATTATTTTTTTCCTGTTCAAGTAATGTTAATTATGCAATTGAAAATCAATCAAGTAAGATTATTGTTTCACTGGGACAGGAAAGTAGAGTGAAGGTTGAACACATACTGTGAGAGAGATTGAAAACTTAGCTCTTGTGATATTGACATCAATTTCTAGCAAAGTATTAAAAGTCTCTGATTTTATTTGTGTGTCCCCAAATATGCATGAGAAAAATTTGTGAAGACATGAATACAGTTATCCTTTGACTATGTACTAAAGTTCTGTTTATGGCTTAAGATTGTATTCTGTAATGTAATATGCACAGTGCATTTCAAATATGGTAAATGTGAAGTGTTTGTTAAAAAAATGTTTTACTTTTCTTTTAAAATTAGAACGTGGTCCGTTTTTGAACCTGAATCTTACCTCTGTGATATAGTAGTGTAACATATTTTTTTCTAATATAGTTTGTTCAGAATTGTTGACGAATAAAGAGTTGCATCAACGTACTTCAATTGCATTTATTTAATTCATTGCATATTACAAATTTGCTAACGACGGTGCCTTGCTGCAGTGGGGAAATAAACACCTGAAAGTAACAAGTTAAGAGTTGTTATCACAGCTCACACAGCTGCTTCCCACCCGCCCTAACCACAGAGGCACTTCCCTCCCTGTACCATCATAAGGATGCTTATGCTTACCATGACTTGATGGAGGACCAGCTGGAGGCTCCCATGTCTTCATCCTCTCCAATATTCTGATTGTCCTCTGCACACGAGTCACAATCCGCGACAGTCTCTCAATCTCCTCCTGCCAATATATTTTCTCTATTTTAAAAACTCTTTGAGATGCAGTTTTCTGCTAAAATAAGTTGCATTAAGTTAACTTGGTGCTTACCTCTAGATACGTTGAGCAGGCCTGATCAATACTTGATCTTCTCGACATTGCTAGAACGGCTAGAACACACAATTTTCACACAATTTTACTGTTCTCAATATCTGGAGGTTTTGGAGGTTTTGGAGCTCAACAACAGGCCTTCTTTACACACAGAAACCTTTCTGGGCAACAATGCCTCGCTAAGGGGGGTGGGGGTG